AGGTAGGTAGGTAGGCAATCTAATTAAACGTCATTGGTCGCCGGTTCGATCGGAAATCATTTGTTTTATTAATGCAGTATTTTCGACTGTAACACCGAAGAGTTGTTTTATGTTTCGTTTTCTGTCGAATATTCTTGGCGACCGGCGGCTATTGCATTGTATTGCGTCTGTTACAGATATGATATATAAAGTAAAAAACAAAAAGAACGGACATGCTTCGTACGTGCGTACGGCCACTATTTGTAGGTGGGAAGTTGGGAAGATGGGATACGGAAGGTATTTTAATGTATATCCGTAGGAAACGATAAACCGTTGTTAACGAAAAAAAAGATTCTGAGCGGAGTTCAGTTGATAGTGTTGCTTGGTCAACAATACAATATATAGTGCATATCGTATTATGGTAAAATGATAACAACAATGTGCGTTTCCGTGATAACAATGATTGTGTAAAAAAGATTAAAATAATAAAAACTTAATACTAACAATAAATAAATAAAAATCACAAATTCAATGAAAATAAAAATTTGATACATGTCAAAACGTTCAGAAGAATAAAGTTTACAAAATGGCTCACTTTAAATTGTTCAAAAATAATAAATCAAAAAAACGCATATTTTTAAGTTTTTTATCATAACATGAAAATTTAATTCAATTATAAATTCGTTGACATAGTCCTTATCCCGGCGAAATAAAAAAAAAAAAAACAAAAAAACAGAATTCGATTTACTTTATTATCTCCGGATTATCGATGGGATGGTTAGGTTATCAGGACGCTCTGCGTTCGAATAAACGATCATATTTTGATCGTTTTTTTTTTTTAATAACCGGCCGCGCGACCTTTTTTTCTGTCGCGGATCCCATTTCGAGACGACCGAGCGCCTTTACTAGACGCAATTCGTCTTCGTTTGATAACGATTGATCGATAACACGAGAACAATAACAGCGCGCGCCGTGTACGATAATAATACACCGTTCGGTCTGCATCGCATTGCGCGTACAGTTTAATGTTACCCGTCCATTTGGGCTCCCCGACGTTACGTCCGTTGCATAAAAACGTCTACGGTTTTAATAGTAATTTTCCCGTCAAGCCGCCGTCCGTCCGTAACGGGGTTCCCGAGACGCGTTTGTGTTTGTTTAACGCGCGCGACTGTTAATAACAATTTTTTATAATCTATAGGCGCGCCTACGGTGATATCGTAAGGAAGCGCGCGCGCACTTTTCGCGCATATTTGATTCGGGAACGAAACGGCGTCGTTAAACGGACGGGAAAACGCGCGCGCATAACAACCGTCGAGTCCCCCCTCCCACGTCCCGTTAACGCGCGCACCCCCCCCTCCCACCCCTCGTAACACGTAACACGGTGTCTGGGCGATAAAAAAATAATATCGCGCGGACCGCGCTCCGCGACGATTCTCCGGCTCGATTTGTTTATTTATTTATTTATTTATTCATTTTTTCTCATCGTTTCGAGCGTTTTTTTCCCGGGCGTTCCGGCGTTTTTTTTATTCCCGGCGCGCCCGTTCGGTACGCAACAACCGTTTCTACTGGCGTGCCCGCGAAACGTGTCCGATTCTCGTTCTAAATCGACACCCGAAATGTTCACGAACGTTAATTACACGCGCGTCATGGCGTGCCGCCGCGGCGTTCCGGGCTCCGCGCGGACACTGTTGTCGCCATGACAATACGCGTCGCCGTATCTGTGCGCGGCGCGTTTTTTTTTTTTTTTTCCACGCATAACGTTTTTAACGGAAACGCGCGCGTTATTTCATTATTATTATTATTATTATTATTGTTATTTTTTTTTTTGTTTTTTTCGCTTCGGCCCGTAACGTTTGTGTTTGTGCATCGGGTTTACCGTCTACCGAAAACGGCCGCGTAACAGTGTTCGTACTCCAGAATTTAATCTAGGAATCGGACGGACTTAGTGAAACGATTTTAATTGGACTTTCGTACTGCGCGTGCTGCAGACGGTAGTAATGTTTTTGAGTTTTTATTAAATTTCTTCCTCGGGGCCGGCGGCAATAAAAACTGGACGGAACCAATTGCGAACACATGCGGCATTAGATTAAGTACCGCCGCGGGAAAACCCCGTTTCGAACGGGCTATCGGATGTACAAAACTCTGCAGGTTAAAAAATTAATGAATACTTTGGACGGCGGAAACGCGCGGCTATCGTCGAGCACGAGTGAAATGATTATTACGGCGAGGTGTACGAACGCGGCAAGTAACCGTCGGAAAAATAGCATTTAAAATTTCAAACGTAAAGTTAATGAACACAATGGCTCAAGCATATAAATGTAAACGCAAACAAGAACAATTGAGTTGAGTTGGCGAGTTCGAAAGAAAATCGAACGTTTACAACGTTTACGATCGTTTGTTTTTACAAGCAATTAATCGTAAACTGCAGCCATCGGCCGATTGTACAATTATACAGGGTCTTTTAAATTTCATTTTACAGACTAATTTTCAATGAAAAAACTTTTTTATTATTTTTTTTTTTTTTCAACAATTTTCTAACGCGAACATTTTTCGGAATCATCGTGTATTATTCCAGAATGTTTTTAATTCTAAAAAATGTTCATTGTCTGTTCGCGTTTATTTTCGAAAGTGAAGTTTACCGTAACGTGCGATTCGGAAGGACCTTGTGTATACAATACCTGAGAACGTTTCAAATCCGTCTTATGAAACGCGTGCACGACAACAAGTAATTCGAAAATATATAACGCACATTTTTTATATTTCCAGACACGTCGAAAATGTACGGTTACGTTTCTGGGACGTCCGCCGGTCGTCGTTTATCCGTTTGTTTTTTTTTTTTCGTTGGTATTTACGCTTCTTATTACGAGCGACGGACGGCGCCTACAAAGACGTACGGTTTCATAATTGTAGGCGGTGCGGAAAAACGCGGCCGCGTCGCTTTGACATCCGTCACGCGCGCGCGCTACGAAACGTTCAATAATAATGCACCGACATCCGGTCGTTCGGTATTCACACCGGTTGGCCTGCTGTCAGCAGATATGACGGAATGGCCAATCCGTCGCGACCATCAGTCCGTCGCGACCGTCTCCGATAACGGCGGGACGATCCGAGGAAATTCAGAATTACCCCGTGCACCCCGTGTTTTGATTTTTTACAACGTCGCCGCGATGAAAAGGGGAGCTTTTTACCGGCGCGATTTTTACTGGGAATTTCGCGGGAAACATCGCGAAGCAATTTATTTCTCGGCGTCCAGCGCGCCCGCACGACGCTGTTGCGCGCGGGGGTTTCAATGGTAGCGTGGAAAAATCAGCGGCGAATCGAAACGAATTATCAACGGACTTATCGACACCTCCTCCCCGACTACTGTCTGCGGACGGCTCGCACAAGACGGACACTACGGAAACGAAAAATCTGGTCTCGGAGCACGGTACGGCGGTACCCGCGGACGACACGCTGCGTTCATCATTACGAAACACCCTGTATACACATATTACACAACATTTATTTATCGGCTTTTTTCACGACTGTTATAACAGGTATAACTATATTTTTTTTCTCTTTTTCTTTTTTTTTTTTTTTTTTTTTTTTTTGCAAGTAAGGTTCTTTTGCGAGAGGACACAAACGCGGAGAAAATTCGTATGCGATTTTTCTCTCTCGCCCGTCGGACGAAATTAATAATTGCCGCGTGCCCTTTTCGGCCGTCAGTTCGTTTCGTATTATAATACGCACACAATATGATATCCGTTCGTTATCATTATTATTACCGTATTATTGTAGCATACATATAGTATATACAGGGTGTCCAACAATGTTGTCCGAACGCTAATAACTCTGTCAATGATCATTTTTTTTTTTTGCAAGTAAGGTTCTTTTGCGAGAGGACACAAACGCGGAGAAAAAAGTAATTAATCGTCCCTTAATCGCCGAAAAAAAAAAAAAAAGACATTTTAAAACGTTCAAAATTAGTAAATTTGTAAAACATATTATTTCAACACGTTTTAATGTGTCGTACGTCCTTACGTGTCCGATTTACGTGGTTTTTATTTAAGTTCTACACCAATAGGACAATGTTTTATGGGCGCGAAACCGATCGATATGAAAAAATTCCGATTACATTTAAAAAAGTGAAAAATAAAAAGTTATTGTTTTTTTTTTTTTTTTTTCATTCTAACGAACGTTGACGGAGGAGTTAACACCGGAGGACACCCTGTATACTATATATATATACGCGCCGAATCCGATAGTCCTCCGGCGCCGCAGCACCCGCGGACGGCCGGCCGGGGTTTCTCGCCCGTTTCCCGGGGGTCGTTCGCGTCTCCCGTCCCGGTTTCCCGGCGTTCCCGTTCTCGCGTGTCAGCGGACCGCGTTTCCGGCGCGCAAACAAATTCGTTCGGGATAATTACACCGCGCATAACCGGGACCGCCGCCGTAACAATATACGTATATATATACGTACACACGCACACACACACACGCGCGTACATAGGTATAATCGTATACAGGTGTATCGCGCGGCGCGCGCGTGTTGTATACGGGACGCGGTTATGACCGCGGTGGCGACCGACGGTTTTTTTTTTTTTTTTCGATCCTCCCTTGCCACCACGCCCGCCGTCCGCGGTTCCCCTCCCCCTCCCCGGCGCTGTTTCCGTGCCGGCCGTTCCGCGCGTACACGCCTATATCGCCTCCCCCCGCCCGCCACCCCACCCCCCCACCCCCGCACAAACCCCGTTCGTTCCTAAATCATCTTATATAATGTATTGTATTTATCCCGCGCCGGGTAATTAATGCAATTACTTTTATAAATTACTGTTTTGCATCCGTGCGTCACACCGCCCGCGCGTTTACGGTCGAACGGCGGTTACACGTATCGTATCACACACATACACACGCATGCACGCGGTTTGTATTATCATTATTATTATTATTATCGTACTGTACGCCGTTGTAATATTATTAGCGGGTATGCGCGTGTACGCGTAAACGCGGTACGAATATAACGGGCCGGGCGAAAAACAATTAAATTAATAATGGCGGTGGAGGGGGGGGGGGGGGAAAGAAAAAAAAAAACCTCCCCGTTATATTGTTCCTGCCGTTCTGCCGCCGGGATCCGGTGGTCTTTTTTTTTTTTTCCCCCCCCCCCCCCCCAACCCCACTCGCTCTTTCTCGCCGCGCGCCCGCAGTCTCTGCCGCGGACTCCCCGAAAACCCCGTACCGCCCGCGTAGAGATTGATTAATATTATTCGTCTCGATTGACCCGCCGCGCACAACGACGGTATTATTATACGAGCGCGTTTTACCCGCGGCCGCGAAACGTCGTTCGCGTTCCGTAGACGCGACTGCGACGTGGTCGAGGGGGTCGGGGGGTCGGGGGGTCGGGCCGGGGGGGCGCGCCAAGCCTCTCCGGTTTTCCGAATGGCCCGTCCATCCGCAGTTTTTCCGTCAACGAGGTTTTTTCGTTTTTATTGAAACCTGTGATAAATTTGGAAAAAAAAAACCGTACGAATATAATATAGTTAGATAATATTAACGGGAGCGCGTAACAATCTGGACCGTACAGTGCTTGAATACAAGGTCCTACGGTTATCGAAATCTGAACCGTAAAAAATCTGAATTTCCGTATGCAATTATATAAGTATCTCAATTTGGCCAATTTCGCCTATGCGCCTAATAACAATAATAACACCTAATAATTGCTTCGTTAAAAAAAAAAGATACGGCAACCGTTCTCTGACACCGATAAGAACTTCTGGAAAGCGTAACGATAAAACCTAATACCTTTTCGGGTCAATATTAAGATAGGGTTAACATGTTGTCTTTTCTTATAATTTTTAAAAGAATACGTCTTTTGGTCAAGGACCTATATGTTTTTGGTCCGAAAGTCGGTAACACTGGATTGATAATAAATTATTTTTCACGGTTTTTACGGTTCCAATTTCGATAACCGTAAAATTCTTGACTCAAGAATTGTATTTTCAAGAGTGGTACGTTCCCGATTCGTATGCATTCAAGGTTTGTGCATATCAGTTTTTTACGGGCACCCATATTTTATGTATTTTATAATAATTATTTGTATTTATTATTATGATTACAATAATGTAAATACAGGAATACGGAACGCGCGGGATGGCTATCCGACGTCTTTACGAGTGTACGATTATACATCGTACTTTAAACGATTCGCCGGCTAAACCGGTACGCGCGTAATATAGGGCGGTTTTAATTTTTTGACGCGGGAAAAAAAATTGAATGATTTCAATCGAGCACCGTCCCCCCCTCCCCTATTTTCACCACGCATTCCCGTTTTGTTCGTCGATACGAGAGTAATTTCGGGAAGTTAAATTTAATTTTATATAATATAGACAAACTGTTAATAAAAGAATACAAGATTCGGATATGATACAGAATGGAAGATACAGGAGGTTAGGTAAAGTTATTGGGAGGGAAAATACACGGAATGTCTAGATGACAGTTTTTTAAACTCGGGGCGTTTCGAGAGCCTCTGGGACACAGTCGGCGGATGGACAGTATGACGGTTAGAATACTCAGGGAATAAGGATACGGGAGAAGTTAGTTGAGATACGGAAACTTTAGGTAAAAACATATAGACATTAGTTTTTCTACAAGGCTCCGCCCCCGAGCCCCCGGGTAATCCTGTGGGAACGGATATAGTCGGCGGGTGGGCAATCCGTTTTTAGAAGACCGGATGCAGTATGACGGGCAGAATACAAGGGAAATCAAAATAAAAGAGTAAGTAATACTTATAGAGGGACTCGGGGAATATATAGATGTCTGTATATTTATGTAAGCGGATTCAGACGGCGGTTCTCGGATATAAATTTTTGTATAACGGCATTAACCGTGTGACTGTTTCGTTATTGACAAATCGAAATAAAATTAAATTCACATTTAATAAATATATACTTAGAGCCGAGATGGCCGATATTATCGATGTGGTCTTATATTATTTTGACGAGCAAAGTTCATTACGTGCCATTATAATTAATTTGCCTCGTATAATCTAAACATTCGTTCGTCGCGATTTATGCGCCCCGCGAACTTATAATTATTTATTTGTATCGTGACTGAATAGAACTGTTTAAATATTTATCGCTGGAACCGAATTAAACTTTTTAGAGAAAACTTTAAAACGAATTGGAATACTAAAAAGCAAAAAAAAAAAAAAACCAAACATATCGAATAAATATTTAAACCGTTACACCGTCATCGTCACGTAAGTACCTATACCTATCTATTTGGGTCCGCGACTTTAAATTAGGTAATCCTTATGGCTAGCAGACCGTAAAAATGAATTAATTTTTAATTCGATTTTCCATATAATATGCGTAATATAACAAAACGGCTAACAACGAACGTGGTCTTAAACAATTCGACCCTGATCAGAAAGTCGAACAACTTCTATATAGGATAAGACTTCCTGTGTGCACTCAACATAATTGTGTTATAGTGCTGCTGCTACGGTTTCAACGGTTTTCCAAACAATACACGATGGCGACCCGTAAGGAATATTATTTCTATCGATAGTTTCAAATAGTAAACAAGAAGGACAGATTCGTGTGGAAGAGTGGTTGGTGGTATTTCAAAACCTTTTCGAAAATAATAAAAATGTTCACTTCCACTCGATGTCAGCAGGGTAACCTCCTCGTCCTTAAAAATTGGTTTGGTTTGGCGTACAGTGTACATCTCTCACTGAAACGAACCAATAATAATCGTTGACGTGTGCCACGAACCGAAAAAAAAAAAACACCGAAATCTAAAAAAAAAAAAACACCGAAATCTAAACTTTGGCAACCTCGTACCGAACATTATCGGTTCTTTCGTACCGAACATTATCGGTTCTTTGCAAATAAAAATTATTAACTATTTGCAGAATAGGTTTTTCTTAGCTGGAAAAAAGTATACGTTTCAATCTGAAGAATTATTCATACGTAAAACCTAAACTTCACGTATATTATACTAAGAGGGTGGTCGATCGCGTAACACGCGCCGATTGGTCTGGCGGGCCCGATTGTCTGTATCCACGGATCTCCATATTGTCTCCTACATTGGCCTATCGTGTAGTTACATATAGTTACAATATTATATCTGTTGCCACAGTTAACATTTCAAATTCGTTCGCAAAAAAATTACTTAATTCCCCATACAAATAATACATTTCATTTACACTGAACGATTTACATCAACTATATAAATGCATTTGTGTAATATTATTTTAATGAACAATAGTTTGATCATTTTGTCCGTGTGCACAAAATCGAAGTCTAATCAATAGTGATAAATCGAGTTAACCGCTCTTTTAGTACCTAAGGTTGCAGGCTCGTTTTTCGTATTTATTCAATGGACATTAAAAGAAATAACATTACAGTTGACCGCGCTTAACAATTTTTTCGAGACGGGAGTTAGTGGCGGGTGTATAATATTATCGTTAGAGGTTTAAATCAATAATGCTGGTCGCGGACTATGACGGAGAATACGATTTTATGGCACTGCACGAAATAATGTAGCTGCGTTTCAGCAATATTCCGGTGTTCCGGTATAAAATGGTTATTATACGTCGTAATAACATTATTATTGACTTTTCTTTTAAATTCACCCAAGTCATAATGTGATTATAATATTCTATTCTTAAAATATATTCGTTATTTTTGGTCTTTCTCCAACCCCCCCCTCCCCCTCCCCCCAACGCCTTTACACGCATTATGTCGGAGTACTGAAACTTAAACGGCAACATTCGTGCTCTATTGCGACGGAAGTAAAGTATTTTTATTAAAAATCGGAGTGTACCTGCACGCGCCGCCCGTCGTCGTCGGGAAATAGCGCACGTCCCCCATTTCATTTTCGCTGCTCGTACATAATAACACCGTAGAGAGTCGGAAAATCGACTCACATACTCAACTCTGATAACAATAAAATTTATTGAAGTATTAAAGCCGCCGATTGGACGGGGGAGCCGACAATATAATATAGGAGAACGTCAGACAAAACGGTCGTTTCGAAATACATTTAAAACAGCAGCTATGCGTATATCATTATAGTAACGAACATTTCATCGTTTTAGTGCGTACTACTCACTCGTATACTCATGCTGCTCGGCTATTGTTCAAACGATTTTACGTGTTCTAGAAACTCACCACTCGTTTTTATATTTTCTAGTGGTTATCGCCAAAGCACAATATAATAATAATAATCAGGACCTGCCGAATGCAGAATATGCAGCTGCCTAGGGTGGCGAATTTTCGAGGGCTGCGTAATACACTTATTAGATTTGAAAAATTATGCACACATGTATATAATATACGAGTATTATGATCCGATGACCAACATTGAAAGGGTTACTATAAACACAGGTATTTCTCCCTAGCGCGACAAAATACCTCAGGTCAACCACGATAATAACGATTTTTTACGTATATGTACGTAACCAACTTAGTCTAGAGTCTAAGTCACGTAAAAGAGGTTCCCGGCATTTTTCATTGTTTGAAAACTGCGTAGATCCACCAATGGGCATTTCAACGGAGTTTTGGAGTTGGGGAAAAAAACACAATAATTTACTAGTCGTATTTTCCTAAAATAGTTGTAGACTATAACGAGACTATAACACGAACTTGCACTGCAATAACATTAAAAATGAGATTGTTTGGACACCGTTTTTAATATTATCAGAAATAACGAATTCGCTGATTGCGGATGTATTATCGCGCAACGTCAATTATAATATTGTTTTTAATTACAATTACGAGTAATAAAAGAAAATAACGTCAAAACCGAAATATTCTTGTTTAGTGTACAGATATCCGTATCCGGCGTTACCGTCACACATAGTGGCGTACGATTAATACTATAGGTACCAGCGTAACGGCCCACCCGAAAACAGACATAATATGCATTCTCGCGCAGAATAATAAAAATATAAACATAATTGGCCATTAGGTACTCTAATTTATTTCGTACTCCTATTTTTATCCCATCTCTGTGATGACTGTCTGACGTGTGTTGTAAATAAATAAAATAATAACAACGTTACCGAATGCTTACTACGGCATTCAAACGTTTGCACACTAAACGAAAAAAAAAAAAAAATGTCCGTGTAACTAGATATTACAATATACTCATCGAACGAATCGTATACACGTGCTACTAGTT